CGTTTAAATCCTAACTATCTTCCATGGTTAACTTTACTTAATTAGTTTAAACTAACTCTCCAACCAAACTTTCCACAGAAATTGTTAATACAGTTTTTACAAAAAAAGAAGCTCATTTAAAACTACTGAAATAACAATTTGATGTTTTAACAATTTAAACAGAGCATAAATGAGCTTTGAAAATGAGACAAAAGTAAGTTTTTAGAAGTAAATAAAACAATAGTCTTAAGTTAGGAAAACAGTTTTACACTTGTGTGTGAGTAATGTTTTTTTGCATTTTGCTTTTAAAATAGTTCAAGAAAAAATATACAGGTTCTTTAATTTAAAAAAAAAAACACCCAGATGATGGAAAGCGCAGCTCTTTGGTTTGAACTGTGTGAAAAATCATTTGAAGTCATCGAGGTTCATAAAACGTTGGTGCCTACAGAACGGCTCGTTCCCTGGTCCTGCTTTCTTCTCAGATTTAAAACAAAACGGCTGGATGTCTGAGCGACTTCACGACTGAAGGCATCAAACCACAACAGAAGAGCAGTCGAGTGCTGCAACAATTTGAGGGCCCTCAGACAGGATGTAGGAGCCAGACTCAACACTCCACAGCTTCCCTGCATCTAGTTAAAAGCTGGAGCGCCTTAAGATTAGATTCATTTCAATGTGTGAAACTAAAGTATTGTTAAAATGCTTTTTACCTGCTTTCCTGCATCACAGAACTTACAGTCATTTGTGAACAGTTAAAATGATGTTGAATAGAAGCTACCAAACTTAGATGTTTGCTGTTCTCTCATATGTTTATGATTTGAATGACAAGGATTTTGGATTTTTACCGGACAAAAATCATAAAGATAATTTCCTTTGTCAATATGAATTACTTCTACTACTTTTCTTTCAACTTAAGTAAACAATGTGTAACTCAAATTGCTCCTTTATTTTTGCAGCATTTTCAACAGGAAAAGGTTTAAAGCTGCTACAGGTTGAGAATAACTAAGTAGAATTTCTTAACTAGTGTTAAGTACAGTTTTGAGTGATTGTGAGTGTTTTTATGTTACACTAATTCCATTATTTTCTGGAGGAAAACTGTGATTCCTTTACTCCACGACATTAGCTGTAGCCACTAATTACTTTCTAGTAAAAACAAAAGCCTGATAAGATGATTAGAAACACAACACGTTTCATAGTTGTTAGCAGTCCCATTCAAGAGACATTTCCCCTCTTAACTTTACACATGGTTTCAAAACCTAAAGAAGCATTCTCTCCTTTTTTAATGTTCTACTGGTAGGTTTTTATTTCTTCTTTGACCACTAAAACTAGAATTTTACCTTTCCACTGTAGCTTTAAGATTGAAAAAAAAAACAGTAAAGATGTTTATTCCAGTGATGTCTTTGTTCACAATAGAAACATGTAAATGAAGTTAAATAAATGCTAAAGAGGTGTTTTTTTTAGGATCACTCAGTACAATGGAGTTTGATAACAAAGAAACAATGGATAAGGAATGATCCCTTTAACTTTGGATGCTTGTAAATTCATCACTACCTTCCCTTCCTTCAACACTGAGGAGTTAAGAATTTATTGGGGGTTTCATGATATGCCTTAAAAATGTTTTTACCTCTTCAGTTTTCAGTGTAACATTCTGGACTCCCTCTGCTGACGGATTCTTTGTTTTTTTTTCTTTCTTTAATTGCTCCAAGGCACATGTGCTGAGAGCAACATACCTTTTGAAAAACATATTCTGCTGCATGTTTCCCATGATCTGATCAAATATGTTGGATCCTGTGCATTATCACAAACATATGATACAGTATAGGAGCCGGCCAGCAGAGGGAACTAGCAAACTGAATACTGTACTATAATGACATGATTGCTTTTCAACTGTAAGAGGAAGCTCTGGCCACTTCCCTATCACTGTAGTTTCTGGAGTTGGTTTGAGAAGAAAAATAGCTTCTTTCACATCCTGCAGAGAGCCAGAGAAAAGACAGATACATTTGCGACCAGCAGCTTATAATAAGTTCAACATTTCAAATTGTTTACTGTGAAAACTCAGTGTGACGTGTGCTTGAAGCTGCATTAAACTCTACTTCCTCACACACAGATGGTGTAAGGTTTTCTTTTTTTCTTTTTTGGCTCACTTTATCAAAAGGTGTGTGTTGTATTTCAGATTCATTTCCCTCTTTTTTTTCTGACTGACCAATGACTGGAAAACCCTCCAAACCAGAATAGGTGTCCTTCTCCACTTCTCTGGGCACACTGTGGGAGTGGGAATGCTCAGTCGTGACCCCCAACCCCCCACACAAAGCCAGTAGTTCCTCTGCGTATGGAAGTGAGGTGGGGGGTGGGAGGACACAGGGAGGTTGTAGACTTCACATCGTCCCATGGGGTCAGATAAAAGCTTAAGGCTCTCCTTATTAGACCTCCCCCTTCGCTTCCACCTCTGTGCACAAATAATGGACTTCTCTACCAGAACAGATATCAGCTCAAATACCATTTTAGAGTCACTTTTAATATAGTATTTTTTGTATTATTTGGGATACAGATGAAGGAGAAGTAACATTTTTGTGCACTATAATCTGAGCGAGCACTTTGCTGGTAAAATAGCACAACTTAAAACGCCTCATTGGTAGCACTGAGCCATACTTAAGGCTTAAAACATCCCTTCTGGTGCAGAACCACTTCTGCCGCCACCCCCTTTTTTTTTTTTTTTTTTAAAATGGCCTACCATATTCAAGCCCCTCCCACAACAGGGGCCATGAGCACGGGGGTCTCTGTTTTGTTCTTCCTTTAGAAGCCTGGCCACCATTGTCTCAGCGTGACCCCAAGGTCAACTGAACTCACCTCGCCCGACCACGGTCCATTCAGCTGTGACGCTTTACATAGGACAAAAACATCTCACAAGAGCAGGGATCACTCCAAGCGAGGGGGTGGGAAGACATGCACACAGACAAACGGACGCAATCTACGGCGTTCCAGAGTCAGAAGCTAATTTGCGTTATATTGTTTTTTTTTTCACAATGTAGCAAGAGACACTAGAGTCATGCGCGAGTACTTCAAAGTGCGACTCAGATACGATCAAATGCAGCGTGGCATCCTAGAGTATAGGTCAGGATATAATGTGCATCCCTGTTGAAAGAAAAATGAGTGGTTCAGACTGGTTGGGATCTATTAAAGAAGTCAATTATAGAAAGTAGTAATGAAGTAATCTTTGACACATTTTCTATTAATTCTCCCTCCGATATTTTAAATACATCTTTTGCCAGAGGGGAAATTACATTTCGCTGCAGGATAAGAATGAGGCCGTCTGCCATCTGCAGCTCTTAACTGAGGTTCATGCATGAGGCCAAGAAAAGAAAAGTGGTGTATCGTGGAGAATATAGCCTAACACCAGTAAGGCTACAATTTTTTTATTTTTGTTTTAAGCATAGGACCTGATTAATTTTAGCTGAGCAGTTTCCTTGTCTGACACACAGAGCACATGTCCTGAAAATCCTCCAGTCTGGCATCTTGCTTTGAGAGGCAACAGTGTCCCTGGTGGAGAGGAAGCTCATGGAAGCTGACAGGTTGAAAATGTGCGGTATGATGTGGCTGAAGGAGCATGAAACATGTTCACCCACGGATGCCTCGCACAGAGCCACAGGAGAGACCAAGAGACAATTAAACACTGAGTGTTTTTACAGAGATAGATTTTTCTTTACCTTTACAGATACTTTTATAGACAAATTTATTGACCTCCAAAGATGGCCCCCAGCTGTTACATGCTTTCATAGGTGAGAAGATTTTCGCCCTTTTATGAATAAGATTACTCTCGTCATGTAATCCTACACTTAACTGTTTGGAGAGGTAATTAAACATCCCAGGTAACTTTTCATTTTCCAATAAACTATATAAAACTGTTGTTTGCTTCATGTCAGTTTTGTGCCCATTCAACCTTGTAAGATGCGGTTTAAAACTCACCACGGTGTTAAATGCAGAATGACAGTCTCTATCCCAGGAGCACCATTAGAAGCATAATGGGGAGACTTGCTCAGTGGCTAATTTAGCGCATCCAACCCTTCGAAAAAAAATCATTCCAAAAACTGTTTAGAATAAGCGCAACATGAAGCACAGCTAAAGTATGCACCCAAACAAATGTCTTTAAATGTAATACAGTGGCTATAATTGTGATGGTCTAAAGCATGCAAATAGTTATGCAGCTGTAACCCACCACTGTTTGGAGTCATCATGCACTGTGCTGCAAACTTTCATTTTATTATTTTGCATTCTGTTTATATTCTGCCTGTGTGTCTCACTTTTTCACATTGCAGAGAGAGAAGACAGATACTTCTCTTCTATTAAGATTTCTTATTCATCTTTTCTTTTTTTTCTTTCTTTTTTTTCTAAGAAAATTGATGCTGAAACTTGTTCAAAACTTTTACCAGAAGCTGAATTGATCAGAAAGACTGAATGTGGAATCTCTTGAAACAGTTTTACTTGAATGAAAGCCACAAAAATCAAGATTTTCATTTCACTTCACAGCATTTTAACCAAAGTTTACACAATTCAAACTGTGAAATATCTTTAGGTGCGTGTACATTTTAAGTGTGTTGGAGTGCAATGTCAATATTTTTTTCCCTCATTTATCAATAAATTAAATAAATTACACATTTAATGTACATCTAAAGCTGCTATGTGTCATGACAGTGAGAAATTCTTGTTTTCTTATAAACAAATTTGCTTTCGAATGTATCTGATAAAACAAACCAAACACGACCGCTGAATGAGATGTTAGGGCGCGCCACTGGCCTCTCTGATTGTCTCTTTAGGAAATAAAGAAAACAAAGTAGTTCAACAACATCTTGTGTACTTGCTGCAACAGTTCAACTAGCATTTGTCTGTTCAAAGTGTATGAACAGGGCAGCTCAGTTCTCAGATCAGCTCCCCGCATTTCTTCATACTTCACCCATGGAAGTATTGTGTCGGAGACTGAGTGTGTCCACAGTGGCTGCATTTTACGATCACCAACAAAGCAGTAAACATTAGACTTTGTAGTAGATGTTGGTGGGACTCTGGGGCATTATCTCCTGAACTATGTACACAGGAGGCCCATAGTCACTGCTCACGCGCTCATAGTGACGGCAGATCATGCTGTCAGAAGGCCGCAGAGGAAAGACGACATCGCTGCGGTCTGAGCCGTTGTTGTCGCTGCTGATGCTGTCGCGCTTCGGAACAGCCAAAGTGTTGAGGGACATAGAGGCAGACTGCTGTCTATCTGGGACGCAGCAGCGCCGATGGTACCTCCACAGCACGACCAGCACCACCACGATGACCAGAAGGAGGATCACACACCCGGAGATGACCCACACCAACAGTCCTGGTTCAGAGTCCCCGCCGCCAGGGTCTGTTTGTCCTGCGTCTGAGCCCGTGTCTATCATCATGAGGGAGAGACAGCGAAAACAAAAAAAAAAAGAAAGAAACTGAGATGAAGGAGCAAATCGGGACATGTGACACAAAGATTTCAAAACAATTTCACTCAGTTCATGCCTTGCTACAGCCCGATCAGTATGTGTTAACATGAAAAAGCACTTTCAAAGCCGGACACTGGAGAATATGCTCTAATGTTTAGTGTCATACTGGTAAACAGCCTGGTGCCTTTTTCTGGCAGATAACCGCGAGTCATGATCACTGGAGGTTTGAGTACAAGTTAGAAGCTTCTTGTAATATCAAATTGGATATTTTTTATGCTTTTCAAGTTAATTCTGTTTGTAGATTCATACAACACCAAACAACAGGAAGTTAAGGCCTTCCCTAAAAGGAGCAAAGCCGTAACAGTTACAAGTTGAAATCCAGAAACATCCATCTTCAATGGACTATAATAATGTTTTGCATGTTTTTGCCTGGGGCTGCAAGGTGGCTCGGTGGTTAGCACCGTTGCCTCGCAGCTAGAACCGTTCTCCCCATGCAGCATGGGTTCTCCGGTTTCCTCCCACAGCCCAAAAACACGCTGAGGTTAACTGGTGATTCTAAAATTGACTGTAGGTGTGAATGTGAGTGTGCTTGGTTGTCTGTCTCTAAGTGTGGCCCTGCGATAGACTGGTGACCTGTCCAGGGTGTCCCCTGCCTTCACCCTGAGTCAGCTGGGATAGGCTCCAGCGCCCCGTGACCCTAGTGAGGATAAGCTGTGTATCGATAATGGATGGACATTTTAGCCCATTTAGCTCAAATCAAGTTGACTAGCAGCCATTTGTAAAGCATCCTAAAATGCCTTTTTAATGTAGTATTCTGTAGGAAAATTGAAATTGCAAATAGATTAAGTAAAATTTGGAATATGTTCAGCAACAAAGTTTAAATTCTACAGAATGGTTTTCTCATTCCACACCTATTTTGGACACAATGCAGTTATACACACCTTGTGTCCAGCAGATTCATTTTAAATTAAAAATAAAAATTAAGCCACTTAAGCTAACATTTATGTGTGTGGTAACTCATGTTAAATACAATAAATCCAAGCTGAATGTTTTCCTGCTCCCATTTAGAAATGACGCAGCCAAAATATAAACTTAGCTAGTTCAACAAAATGAAATTTAACAAACACTCCCTCACTTTCAGGAAAGTTCAATTTATTGCAGGGCTGACTGTGCAGCAAAATTATCGTCCTATTATTCTAAAGGTTGCAAAATCTGTGTCAAATGCCAACGGGTACTGTTGCATATAATTCTGCAGGCAATATTTTTGGTTGGTGCTCGTACCGGCTTTACTTTTTATATCCTTTTCTCTCGTGGAGGCGTCCTTGGCCTTGGACTTCGGTCGTGTGGGAGGGAATCTGGTGGGGGACTCCTGAAGTGTTGAAGGTGGATCTGAAGAGTCTGGAATATAAGCATATGGATATAAGCACCATACATCTCCTCAGTTTCACTGTGTGGGTGGGGTTATGTCAAAATGTTTCTAATGAAACCATAATGGTGCTTAGTAAATCATTAGTGCTTGATGTCAGCCCCTCAGAATCGAAGCAAAAGAAGCCTCTGTCTTTTCGTTGTTTTTTTTTTTTTTTTTTGGAGCAATTAATCATTTGTAACAGTCATTAGGGGAAAAACGCACCACAGGAGAAGGAGAGAAAGCATTTTCTAACCAAATCAGACCACAGAAAGTTCTGCTTTGAGTCATGACTGGGACTCTCATTTCAGTTCTTGACTGGAAAATCTCATTCATTCACTTTCTCTTCCTACAGGTGCAGAACACATAACTGAATGCAGCCATTTCATATTTTCATGTTTTTTTTTTGTTTTGTTTTTTTTTTTAAGAAATTTTGGGAATTCCACACCAGCAGTTTTACAGTTGCATATTTTCCTCTGTGGCTCTGAAGGAGAGTTGTCAAGCCTGAGAAAATTACATCAAATGAGAGCACTTAAGTAATCAAAGCAGTCTGTGCTTTGATTTTAACAGGCCTTTTTCTCTGCACGGTTACTAAACGTGGTGGAAAGTAAGTTAGCAGGCACATTCATTCAATCAAAGTATATAAGAATGCTAGAGAAAGTTTGTTGCATTTCAGAGGAAAATATCTGCCACTTGTATATCTGATCGCTACCATTAGTTGTCACATGAAGACTTTCAATAAAAAAAAGAACAAACTTATGAAATACTATGCGTTGTTGAAGATTAGTTTCCAGCCTTTTTTGCCTCTGATTCTTTAAACCTGAACCCTTTTAATGTAACAGATTTCCACTCTTAACCTCAAACATGGTTTAGGCTAAAGAGGCTCAAAGAGGTCAAATAATTCAAATAATTCAGTGGTGTACACAACGAAGCAAAAATTGTATTCAAAGGCCAAAAACCTAAAGCAGATTTGTGTTGCAGATCTTTTTTCCTCATCACTCCATTAATGATGTCAAGATTCATCATCACTCGTTTTGTCACTCTTAGAAAGCACAGGACAAATTGTACAAAAATGAGCTAAAACTGGCTGGACCAGCTACAGCAAAAAAACCATTGCTTACACGCTGATGTGCCAGTAATAAAACCCTAATATGGCTTTATCTGTACTTTCACTTTTCAGTTAAAGCATGTGAATATTTCTTCCGCTGCTGCTTTTTAAGTCTTTCAGCTTTGTAAAAGTTCAATTCTAAATTTCTGCAGCGCCTCTTAAAGCAGAGCAAGATGAGAGTTTAAGGGACAATAAAAGGCTTCTAGAAAACAGTCAAGAACAACACAAATCCCAGAATAACTGAATTTAACACCACACATTCACATTACATGTGCAAAGTGGCACTGAGCAGTTTCCTACCCAAATGCAACCAAGAGATCTATTGCAATAGATGCCCATATTATGGCCTTCAAGTAAGCAACAAATAAACTGAACAAAATGTTCTCCATTTCTTTCAGTTATTGATTTGTGAGGACGACACACATTATTCAACATGTTCCGGTCTTCATCCAAACAGTTTACTTTAAACTGCAGCCTTTTAAGTTTTGCTTCAGTGCGCCATCGTTCATTCAAACTGGCATTAATTTAAATGTACTCGCATCACATCCACTGTGATTTCAGTTTTAAAAGCAAAATGTGTAAATCCAAATCTGACACGACTGACGGGATTTTTAATATACGTAGAGATTAAAACAAGATTACAACCAAATCTGAGTTATTAATATTTACTGTTGCTGTGAAAGGCTTGTTTACACCACTGGTGTTTGTAAGCACAGTGGGAAAACAGCCTAATATTTTCAGTTATGATCAGTTGAGAAGCACACGAAATGCTGCTCTTTCCTCTCAAGCGCTTGAATAATTTATAGAAATAATGTTTCACATTTCTGAGGTCAAAAAATTACATTTTGGGCCTTTAAATAGATTCAGAGTTGGAGGTTTTTAGCAAAACATGCAGAAACTCACTTTGATACAACACATTTTTAAACAAGCACGCAATAACTTCTTGTTTTTCATATGTATCAGGATGCAAGTAAAACGATTAAGCTCCCCGTTAGAAAGTGGTATTGATAGGAATAACATAATGATATGTTTCTGTGTGAATACTGTATTACACAGTGATTTGTCTTCAGGGCACTTGAAGTAAGGAAGGAGAGAATATGTGCGCCTGCTTTATTAAAATTTAATGTGAGTAATAAGAGCAAAAAATGATAAAAATATACCACTGGCTATACGGATGTTAATACGAATAAAAAAGTATTGACTGCCACAGCTGTTTTAAATGGTCGCATGCGAGATAATACCGACTGCTTTAAGCTGCCAGTGGTTTGAATTAGGGATTTGAAATAATTCATGACGGCAATCTCTCTTCAAGAGAATGACTGGATGATCGAGATTATCTGACTACTTAGTAAATGGAGAGAAACGGTGAAATTATTGTATTAAACGTGTGATATCACGAATAAAACAATTATCTTCCTTTAGCATCGTTTGTCAGATATAACTGCGTTTGTGTGCGTCTCTTCTTCATCCACACTCACGGCTTTATACACTTGCTGGCACACGCATATAAACATGGAATGCTTACTCTGGCCGACTCTCAGCACCAGCTTCATGGATTTGATCCTGCACACCCCTCCATTGTTATTATCCAGGCCTTGCAGAGAGCCTGTCGAGGTGGCTGATGAACAGAGAGAAGGAAACTTTTCATTTTGAAGTTTTCACGCAATAACTATAATAGTCACGCAATCACCATAATAGTTAAGATTATCAAGCAGTGCATAGGTTCAGTAGAATTTCTTCGCAGACAGTTTAGCGAGTTGCTAAATGTTGCATCACGTATGCAAGAAAATGCAGCACATAGCACAAATTATGTTGCATAAACTGTACATAATAACACACGTAAAAACAACATGAAAGCCACTAAAGATGCAACCAGGACTGAAGCAAAGAATACTTGATTTTGCGTCAAATCACAAATCCTCAGAGATCACATTACTACATGCTCTATCTCCAAACGGATGGCAAAGATGAGTCTAAAACAGTTTCAACAAAAATTGAACATTAAAACCTGCAAAAAGAGAGGATCTGTTGCAGAATTGTTGCATTAGGATACATTAAATGTACCTAGGGTGTACTTAATAAAATAGAATTTGAAAGCAGCTTACCATTTTTACCACTACATGGGTATAACAAATGACAAGAATAAAACATATTTCATTGGCTATCCTTTTTAACAAATAACTGACATCGCAGTAACTCATCAAAAACTCACAAACACGCACACACACACGGCAAGGACTCTCATTCACCCCTGTCAGTCACACTCGTAGACTTGTTAGCAGCATTTAGGTCAGATAACATCTCACAGGCTACAAGCCACGTTGCCATGAAAGCTCCCATCAAATCTGCCTGATGCTGTAAAAGCCTTGTGTGATTTGGGGCATGTAAGCCCTTGGAATCACACTGGCCTGCCAGAGCGAAGTGTGCTGTCAGAGCGTGGCGAGGTGGGTGAGGCTGCACGGTCAGACTTGCTCTCTATCTCATGCATCACTTGCCACTAAGATGCTGGTTTAACCGACAGCGGCCCAATAACGAGGCCACATTTTTTTGATTCTCACGCAAGCTGACAAATTGAGAGGGAGCCGAAGATGAAGGCCTCCTCTTTACCGCTTTTAAAAAAATGAAAAAACTGTTGCTAGCTTTGATTCAAAACGCTGCTCCACCAGTTAGAACCAGCAGCTTGTGTCTCTGTCCCACTGATTTTTTGCTGTTGCACATGTTCATTGGCAGCATTGTGACAGCTTCGCCAACTCACAGGTGATGTAATAGTCCCTCCCCTTGAGGAACTCCAAACCCCAGAGGTTGGGGCTGAACTCTTGAAACTTGAATGTGAACTTTACATCCCGGTGAGGCTTGTCACAGTTCAGCAGGGGCGTGTCCGTCTTGTCAATGGTGCAGCTCGCCATCTGACTTCTGGAGACCAGGTAGACTCTGTAGAACTCCTCCTTTCCCCCGGAGGAGGCGTCAGCGCGAGGACACACAATGTCCATCTTGTCTCCTATCTGAGGATACAGGACCAGACCCCGACCTGGAGCAAATCTAAGAGGGTGACAGATGGGTAAACCAAACAAAAAAGAACCCTTAAAATTAACCTAAACAATTCAGACAGAAACATCCCTTCTGACTGTGGAACTTGAGCTTTTCAGCAACATCTTTTCATTCTAAATTCTCTCAAATCTTTAGGGATGGATCAAGGATTAGAACTCAGAAAATGGTACGAGAAAAAAAGGCCTCTCTTACATTCAGAAAACCCCAGGGTGCCGCCTTAAACTGTTTGTTTTTGTCTGAGCAACAGGCCAAAAAACCCCAAAAGATATTCAGTTTTGAAGCTGAGAAGATTAATTGATTAGTGGATCAACAGGAAATTATTCAGCAACTAGTTTGGTAAGTGAGTAATCCTTTGAGCCATTTTTAAGCATCCTGTCGGCTTCTGTGAGGATTTAGTCTGTCTTGTGTGATGGGAAACTGAATATCAAATAACCCATTTGAAGAAGTCACTCTGGGCTTCAGGAATTTAAATATTTTCTAACATTACATAGATTAAATGATTTTTACCTGAGAATGATAATCTATTTACTTTTAAATGACATAAAGCAGCAGCAAATCTATGCATAGAGAAGGTTTGGCTTTTTTTTTTGTTTGTTTTTTTTGCTCAAATATGTTATTCACCAATTTTCTGCCAGTTAATCAATTCATCATTTCAGGCTGAAACTGCAGCACTTGATTTCCAGTCAAGGAGGGTCTTCTCTTTAAACTTCACCACTTGCACACACAAAGCAGCTGCACAAAAAGTTGCACTCATCTGACTTATGCACTTACTTTGCATTGGAGCTGCTCCAATGGACAGACTCCAGAGTGGCGGCACGACACGAGCAGACGACGGCCAACAGGATCACGGCACCGCAGCTCCATGCGCTTCTCCCCATCACAGGAGTTAAATGGCAGGTACAAAGCGGCGGCTCGGTATCATAAAACAGAGTGGAAAGCGGCTGAAATGTGTCGCCTCTGCATGTCTCCGGCGACTCCAGGTGCGCGCAGAGGACACATTCCTGAGCGAAATCCCAACAAGCAGCGAGTCCTCCTCCTCCTGCTGCGGTTGTGTGAAATTTTCCACATTGTGCGTAATTGGCTAGAAAATCATTCGTGTGACGAAATCCATGTATTGAGGACAGAGATTGTGTGGAGCATTTTAGTCATCAGCTGACTGACCGGTCCGCCCATACAGGCTACAGGCTCATGCGTAACAGAGACCGGAGCTCTTTGGCACATTGATTGGTACATTTCCCACACATTAGGATACACATAAGGATAAAAGATTTTTATTATTTGCAGTTTTTCTCTTGTTATTTTTATATTTTTTTATTTTTATTTTTTTGTGGATTTGTGTCATCTGGACGAAGGGTCTAAGGACTAACAAACTGTAAAGCCCCTTGTGAAATGTATGATTTGGGGAAAATTAACTTGACTTACAGCACAGAAGGTGATCAATAGCTTTTGTGCATCTAGAAACCTACTATTGTTTTGTGTTGTTTATCTAATGATCATATTTGCCTTTAATTATATCTTTCTTTTATCCATGACAATGTTTGACTTGCAATAAGGATGTGTTTCTATAAATCAATTTCTTATATCTGGACACACACTCAAAAAACAAACAAAACATTAATTAGCTCAGTTTCATCATATCCCAGAATCAATGTTTTCCTTCTTCCCTACTGACTAACCATATGATGACGTTTTGTACAAGAGAGTACACATCTAAATGATCACAAAATGATAAAATGATCAATAAAATAAAATAAAAATCTGGCAGCAAGGATGACAGAAAAATACTTTTAGAACATTGGAATGTCATTATGGTCAAAAAAAAATTTAAAAAACTGAAATTAGCTTTTGTAAATTCATTAATGAAATTTCTGCTGGTTTACATACAGTAAAATTGTGTGATGTTATTACAAATTACCATTCGTAAAAAATATATAGATTTATGATGTGGACATTATTTGCAGTTTTGGCCAAGTAGTTTATTGCAGTCAACATAGAAATGGTTGTTTTCTTTCTGTGATTTTCTGCGAGATATTAATTTGACAAAACAGGAAAAATCTATACGTAATAATTATAAAAATAATTCCCTTTTTTCAATCTGAAATTCCATAACTTTTCTTTCAAATAAAGACAAACATCTGTAAACTAACAACATTATTGGATGATTTAAATACAGTAGAAGTTGCAGCATTTTTATGGTCAGATGATGTAAAAGCACAAATTATCATTTGTAGAAATAATGATTTTTGATGTGGACAATAGCAAATAGTTCAAAAAGAACTACAGTTTTAAACTGTTACGCAAGGTTCTTGTACTTTGTGTTTTGGGGGAAGCACAGATGTGGCGATGAATACAAAGAGGAGTGAAAGCTCTGACTCAGTGATCTCCTTAAATGAACCTTCTCTTTCCAGGACACACAGACTGTAATTAGATCAGGTCATACAGATGACCACGCACTCCTTAAAAAAACTGTTTCTTTATAACTGTAAACAGCTGAATCTCAGGAATCATTTACTATATCCTGGGCTTAGTGTTTTATTTGTAAAGATTTTTATGTCAATATGGATCAATGCATTAAAAGTCTTTGTTGTGGATGGGTTGGGATGGAAGCAGATTTTCTTTCCTGTATATTCTGCATGTAAGGAGCCAAGGCTGTAATCCCCTCATTTTCAAGGAGTCTGAACTAATGACAAAGTGGTTTAAAAGATTACACAGGGATTCTGTCACAAGACTAAAGCAGCACAAATAACGGCTGAACTGCACAGAAATGTCTGCGTTTCTGTCTGGAAGCAGACTGGGCTGCATGTGTTCAAAGTGCTGGCAACATTTTCCATATTTATAATTCATTTAAACCTCGACATGCACCGTGCAGAGAACGCAGGGGCAGAAATGTTTTCTCGTGTAAACACAAAATCATACAAGTCTGACTTTTGGTTTTGCTTAAACAAACTTCAGACGCACACTCGTGAGATGTTTTTGATTGATTTTATTTTCTTGTCATGCATTCAGCTTCCCACATACATTTAAAAGGAGATTCCAAACATAACACAAGCTCATGTATCACAGCAGCAAAGCAGTGAGAATCCATGTTTTTCTCTCAAGCCTTTCTCAGGCCATCAATTAAGTAAAAACAAAAAGCATACAGTTTATTCAGAATAAAGCCAATTTGATGCAAATTAAATTTTCCAGATGATGAACTGGCTAAAGGATTGATCACTTGAGCAGTGGCTGAGATTTACTTTTCCTTTTACTCTAACTGCTGCAGTATTTTCTAAGGTTATCTCTGATGGAAATGGTTTATTCCCATGATATATTACATAATCTGAAATATTCAAAACTAGACACAGAAAAATAGTAAGAAATCACCTTCAACTCAATATTTGACTTATATTAAAGCTGCAAGATTTGTTTTAAGTGTCCCCAGTATGAGGACATTATTTTCTTTCTTAGAATTAGTCTTGCAGCACCGTGCTTAAATATAGGATGAAATGGGAATACAACTACCTCTTTGTTTGTTCTTGGTGCTCAGACCTCTTCTCAGATTTATGGACCCATGCTGCAATTTTGCTTCGACCATGTAATTGCATATACTGCGGAGGAAATTGTTCTTATATGTCTGACGGTTGCTTGTTCTCTGGAGAAATAAAGAGCTAGTGCGATAAATGAAATCTCTTTTAATTCAGCAATACTCAGTGGAAGCATAAAGTCAGTGCAAGCAGGGAGCGCCTGAGAAGAGGTCGAACTTAGACTTTACAACTTTTAAAACATGAAAAGGTTGTAACTTTAAAAAAAAAAGCAGCTGTCCCAAATGGGAATCAAATCTAAGCTGTGTGCCACAGCTGTAGCGTCTTACCAACCTGACGGAGAACAGAACACCTGACACAGTGTGGATGTGACTCAAGAGTGTGTCCATTAAAGTTTCACTCTGACTCTGTTTATGCATCAGATTTCTCAGCTGCATCATGTGTCGTTTTTGCCTGTATCACCAGCAGCAGCAGTCTCCAGTTCATTCGGTCCCTGTGAGATCTCCCAAAGTGAAGCTAATGCTAACATGTTAGGCGTCAGGTAAAGAACAACCCCTATCACGATTAGCATTAACCTCAACCTGGGACTCAACTTTGAAGGCTGCTCCATCGCTGCCATGTTTGCCTCTCCGCATGGCCTCCTGCAGGGGGTGACAGAGTGTTTTATTCACCACTGAACTGCACATGCTTTGTGGAAACCAAGATTTAAACTGATAGGAGAGATTTTAGAGGATGGATTACAAGAAAACGACCCCTTATTTACTTAAAAGGCGTTGGAGAGAATGTGCTGGCAGTTTGTCATGACTCATGTGTCATTTTTTTTTAACTTTAGCAACAAAACAATTAGAAAACAAATATACAAAGTGAATTTTAACAGCAACTCTCTCCTTTTATATGTTTCTTCTTTAAAAACGTAGGCATCGAAGCATTATTTAGGCCTATCTCAGCTTAACGTGTCTGTCATCATTAGAAATCCACAATACTTCTTCAAGCAAGTTTCCGACAATCTAAACAGTCTGTGGAAAGAGAATAAGAATGGAGTTACATCAGCTACCTGGACAAGTTTTAAGAGACTGAAAGAGTCCACATGTGGGGCAGCTGGAGCTTTCAGAAAAGGTTTTATGTCTGCTGCATTTCCCCAGAGACACTGTGAGCAATAACAGGATGTAACAGGTGCTGCTGGACTAGAATCAAGATAATATTCGAAGCTGAGATGTTGTCAGGAAGTGTATGTGTGTGAGTGTGTGTGTGTGTTCAGAATAATGGTAGATAGGCAGCTACTGACCTGTCTCTGCATCGTCAACACTTCCTCTTTTAGCAAACGGTGCCTCTCTCCTTCTTCGCTCAGCTCGTTTTGTGTTCTCTTCACCGTCTGTCTCTCGCTCTCTCCCTCTCCCGCTGAACAGTAAACCAGCATGTGGGTTTACATGTCTCTTTTATATACTTGAGCGTGAGTCATGTAAAAATCCCCTTCGAACAGAATGACTATTAAAAAGAAAGAGGAGATCACGCAACAAATTTGCAGTAAAGATGCCATTTAACTTTTATGTAAATGCTGCCTACGGAAGAAAATAAAAATCTGTTTCAAGGATTAAAACGACTTATTTACTGTTATGTCCACAGTGATGACGCCAACACGGGCTGACGCGAAGGTGATGGAAGTTTATGACTTTAAATTCAGTTTAAAGTTCAATTGCGTGACTCCCTAAATGTTTGACAAAACTACTGAGTTTGATCAACATGTAAAAGCTGAATCTCCCCATCTCCCCACTAATGTTAAAGGATTTTAAATGTGACGGTTTGAGCAATTTAATAAAGCTGGAGATAATTTAGGCAAAATGCATGACCACAGAGGCAGTTACACAATAAATGAACTTTCATATATATGATAGTTTGAGCTTTTCCTGTGACACCAAAACTCTATTAATTCAAACTGTCCAGAGCTTTTTTTCTTTTCTTCACTGCTTCAATAACTAGACTGGATGGATAAAGAGGACTTAACCACAGCAGCAGTTGGTAATTTCTTGCTTTCCCTTAAGAAAGAAGACTGAAGCTGTGACCCAAATCCACTCTACATATTAATTCTATACAGTATGTACTGCATACCAGTCGTCACGCTACACTGTTGGAGCAGTGTGTATAAAAAATTAAACATACTTAACCACTTTAACGCCTAACTACCAAACAGCCTCTTTGGAATGATTAGTTTTTGCTCTCCGGTATCTTTCTGAAGCTGTTTCATCCCCATCAGCAAATTATTTTATTTCCAGCTGTCTTCAGCTTCTGTATTTCCTTTGCATCATGGAAAACTTTATTCATCAACACCTCACTTAAAAATCAACTGTATTTTCTGTCTG